GAAAAAAAAGGCTAAGCATAAATGGTATGAATCAATTTGCACCTCATTGAGTGAAACTAGAATTTGAAACCCTACCAACAAGAAAGACTCTGGCCATGAAGCATAAAGATCAATAATTCGATCAATTAAAGATACGCCCGATCTCAACTCATTATGTGCATAAAGTACACGTCTCCACATAATCAATTTCTTCCACTCCAGCCTCCCCGACACAATGGGGCAAGGATGTCAGGGACAAGATAGTAGATCTGCAAAAGGCTGGAAAAGGGCTACAAGACATTCGCTGTGAGGCTTGGTGAGAGGGTGACCGCTGCTAGTTAGTAAAATCACTAAACCCATGCACAGTGTTATCTTAAGGGGTGAGGATGATGATGAGAAGTGTGATGATCAACTAATAACTACACAGAAACGGTTACCAAGAACCCTAAGAGATTAGTGTAAACCAGAGTTGTAGCCAGAACATGTTAATATGGCTGGCCAGGTAATAATCAATATACTCTGAGGGAGGGGCCGAAAGCGGATAGACACCAGAAGCTCAGGGTCCCTCTACACTGCTCTAAAAGAAAATGAACAATCACAACATCTATACTTCCTAAATAAAGACAAACTATACCCTCCGACAGCCTTTGTTAACAAACAGACGCATATATTTAAACATCCATGCTGTCTAAATAAAAGTTGTAGAGGACAAAATTCTTTCAGGTTTGAGTTCTCGGGCAAACATCTTATTCATTGTCATTATTTATATACTTTATCAATAATCGTTCTGCCTATAATTAATATCTACATTAAATTGATTATTATCAAAGTATTATTTATCTCTGATTTTACTGACTTGCAGAGACGTAATTTTCTCTTTACCCCACAAGACAACATCTAGTTCTGAAAAGAGCATGAATTCTGTATTCATCATCTTTGATGTTATTATATTGATGTGCATGTTGAACCACAGTGTTTTTGTTGTCAAGTAACTGTTAACATATGATAAATTCTATTGTTAAATAAGTTAGAACATTTCACTTTACAGTATTACTGCTGCCACCGTCTGTATTAGAGGGAAACAATAGTAGGAGTGGCCACAGGCGTGGCCAATGATTGGCTAATGGTGGCCATGGCCACCCCAGGCCCAGGCTGGTGTACAGTAAACTACTGTAACCTTGCCTACTCTGGTTTAGATGGTGCACGTATGTCCATCTTGGTTTCAACGAGAACATATAAATGATTGAACCATTTTTTTGAGGAAACACGTGTTTGAAACACACCAGAAATTCAGCTCAACCTAACCACTCATGTGTAGAATGAGAGTTTAACTAGGATAACACTATTTGCTCATCCAGATACACAGTTGAAAACAAGGGGTATAAAACTTTAAAATTTAACATTCTTTATCATTACTGCAGGGGTTTGTTTTATCTAATCAACATAGGAACCTTCAGTTATCATGACAATGGTATTTACAAATCCCAAAAACGAAAAGTATTCATCTATATTATTTATATATAGTTTTTTTTTTTTTTAAGGAGCACTATTTGTTTTATCCGATTGCAGTGAATTGCATTCGCATGCTTAGAAAATCTAAATATGGGTCATAAGTTGGTTTCCTCCAGTCTAACAATAACATTAAAAAGGATTAAAAGAGTGACTTAAAAAAAACACAATAGGGTCAGTGGATTCATGTCAATTAGCAGCAAACATATAAATGATTTGGAAAAGTTAGTCAAGGAAAACTTGCCCCCAAATTGATTTAATAAATAATATAAATATAATGTTCTTGGCATTTTTTTTTTTTACATCTACTGCACAACTGTTGCGTTCCTGCTTCTGTGTCTAAATTCAGCTGTCTGTTGCATCTAATTTTGAATCAGTATTGGTGCTGGCTCTACCATTATTGTTTCGCTAACCAAGACAGACTGACGGAAGTAGCTCTGCAGCTGTGGGATACCAAACAGGCATAAAATTCTCCATAGTCAGTTGGAGCAAGTCTAGATGTTTTGTAGGTTTTACAGTTTACTAAGGTCTACATATAACCTATTATTTACCCAAACCAGTGGTGGATAACTCAGGTCCAGGAAGTAAAAAGCCAGTAAAGAGATTAGTTCCAACCATTTGCTTTTCCAGCTCACAGACTGGGAGCTTATCACCTCGTTAAGTAAGGATGAAGGATAATTAGACAGGTTTTTTTTTTTTTTATTCTGGAGCTGGATTATCCACCTCTGATACATCCTTTCCGGTCAGGATTTGTCAAAATCATTCTATGGTCACATCGGTCTAGAGGAATTTCTAGAGCCAAAGGCTCAAACAGGTGAAGCTCTTCCATAGACAACCTTTTTTTTCTTTTGTCCAGAACTCGAAGCATTCCCAGTTGCCCTCAATAAGGCACAATTTTTAGATGTGGTGGAGTAAAGATATGAAATAGGGTTGGGGAGTCCTTAAAAACATCTGCCTTTAAAAAAAGTTATATCTGCACCGCTTTAAGCCTTGATTTGCTTGGGGACAAAATAATTATTTCAGTCATTCATCCATCCATTCATCTTCTTCTGCTTATCCATCGGGCTCCCTGTAGGGCTGGTGCTCATCTGCAGCAGTCTATGGGCGAAAGGCAGGGTGCACCCTGGACACGCCGCCAGTCACAGGGCTTATTTCTCTCAATCATATGAAAATTATTATTTTTACTTTGACCAGTGATGCTTTTTCTGGATTGTTGTTTGATACTCTGCATCTGTACATTGGAATCAAACTCATATAAAAAACAGGGTTGCTGTTTCGCTTGTCAATCAGAAAGATTATTTCCGCCAGTATATGTATAGGCCTTGTTATCAAATGTGTTGATATAACAATTCACCAAACAAAACAAAACTCTGCATAAACAAGTTTATCATTGCAACTATGCAGAGTTTGTTATTGCTGTTACAACAGTTATTAGCATAAACATGTTAAGCACAAACAGCTAAAGATGCACCAATCAACCCACCAGAAATTCAAACAGTTTCCCTGTGATTAGCTTTGTGTGATTGGCAGATCAAGTACAGAGGATTTTGTATGTATTAAAATGCATCAAAATATCCAACATTTTTGTAGACAGGTTCCAGTGAAAAAATATCTAAAAGCAAATACTTTACTGCACTGTTTTTGGACGGACGGACGGACGGACGGACGGACGGATGGATGGACACAATGCCTTTTCAACCTACTGTATTTTTTATTTTAAACATTATTTGATGGCCTTTGTGGCAGATCCATATTTTATGTCACACACAGAGTATACATCTAGATAGATAGATAGATAGATAGAT